CTGGGCAATCAAGTAAGGCAGGGCCAGAACGGCTTTAGATGCAGGGGCACAGGGGCGGCTTCATGATGCCCATCAGCAATTGTAATTAATGAATGACTCCTCCCTCACTTTAGTTTTCATTTCCCTTCGTTTAAAAACTAGCTAATTAGATGTGCACGGCTGCGAAATGGTCGTGAAAGTAGAGATATGGTCGTTAGCAGTTCTTTGCCTTCTGTATGTCACATTGTCTACATTTCCAGCTGTGGATAATCGTCAGCCTTGTAAGGACAACTGAGTCAAGGGGAACAGTAACATACTGCAGACTTATAATATACGTGCAGACTGCAGACTCAGTGAGTTGGCAGTCCAGCTGGGTCAGCAGGGCGGCCACGGACTGCCGCCAGGACTGATCACCAGGGCGGCCACGGACTGTTCGGCAGGACTGATCGGCAGGGCGACCACGGACTGATCGCCAGGACTGATCGGCAGGACTGATCAGCAGGGCGCGAGACACGGACTGCCACCAGGACTAATCAGCGGGGCAGTTCGCTCCGGCGTGGCGGTCTGTCTCTGAAGGCTCGGTCCCTCAGTCGGTCTTTGGTCCCAGATCGGTCTGATGGTCCGGGATCGGTCCAGTGGGGGTCTGACTGTGGTTTGCGATCCGTCCCGTTTTTGCCCTGTCATCCCGATCGGTCGGTCCGAGATTGGTCCGGTGGTCCGCCTGTGGTCCGAGACTGGTCCAGTGGTCCGCCTGTGGTCCGAGACTGGTCCGGTGGTCCGCCCGCCGGGCCGGTGGTCCGCCCGCCCCGCGTGGTCCGCCCGGCCCCGTCTGAAGCGGGGCTCGGTCTGTGCAGATCCGGCGGCTGGCCGGCTCTTCATGTCGCCCCGATATTGAATTTGCCGACCGACTGGCCGATGGTGGGCGCAGTCCGTCTAATTTTCCGCTCATCGGTTAGCGCGCCGGGTGGACGGGGCTGGCGCCTGGGACCGGTACTGACTGCGCCGCGCCGCGCGGCGCCGGCAGCCCCCTCTGAGGGAATGGAGGGTGCGAGGTGTAGGGACAGGGGAGGTGCGGCAGACAGACGCCGGGACAGACGCCGTCACACACACCATCACCCGCCGACCTCAGAGTAATCGGCTGATATCACCGGCATTATTCTGGCGAACAGTTCCTAGAGCGAGTACCGTAAGTGGTTCCGGTAACCCTAATGGAAAGCTGATGAGGTTATGAACATAATGGGTAAGGGCAGCCACGTATGTAATGGGCCCGAAAAAATGCCGGGAGCAAACTCATTACGTGATCAACCCTACGAGAATGCAACCCTACATGAGGCAAGAACATTTTATACGAGATCATTCCTGATTCGACGTGAAATGCCGATTCTGATTTTTAATTGATTGGAAGATTGCTTACATATGTCGGTCTAATGATGCTGATGATTCAATACATGAACCGCGAAAGGCCAGCGAGTGCTTTCAGGGTACAGGACGCTGGCCCCACTGTCGGTACAGCCCCCTCGGTCCCCGCTGTCGGTACATACAGCCTGCCCGGTCCCCCACTGTCGGTACAGCCCCCTCGGCCCCCACTGTCGGTACAGCCCCCTCGGTCCCCACTGTCAGTACAGCCCGCCCGGTCCCCGCTGGCGGTACAGAGCTCGCTCCCCCGCTGGTGGTATATACAGCCCCCTCGGTCCCCCACTGTCGGTACAGTCCGCTCCGTACCCCGACCCCGCCCGGCTTGTCGCCACTCCCCGCGGGAGGCGGCTCCCAGCACGGCACGCCGGGGAGCGGCGGGAGGGGAACTCCCCGCGGGAGGCGGCTCCCAGCACGGCACGCCGGGAGCGGCGGGAGGGGACCGGCCGGCTGATTGCTCGCGCGGGGAGGCAGGGGAGCATTGCGTGCCGTCCATGATCGCCTCTATGTGTTACGCTAATTGGGTGCGCGCGGCGGGTAAACATGCATTAGCGCCGTCCGGTATAAGGTGTCCAAGTTTGACGGCCGCTGATTAGCTCTGCCAAAGTGGAGCGCGACTCGGCGCCCCGACGCCGGCTCTGAGCCCGACCAAATTGTTTTTACATCCATTAATGCATTAAGGGTGACCAATACCGAGAGTGGAGCGACGCTCGGAAAGCTATGTTTGTTAATGCGCAATCAGGCGCTGGGACACGCAGTGGCAGCCGGCCGGTCTGCCCGGCTGGTGATGGTCAGTGGTCGCCGGGGGTGAGGTGTTTAAATGTCCGACGGTCGGCCGGTCTGCCCCGCAGTGGTGGTCAGCGGGGGCGGGTCGGGAGGGGTGTTTAAATGTTCGGTGGCGGCCGGTCTGCTCGGCTGGTGATCAGCGGGGGCGGGGAGGGGGAGGGGGTGTTTAAATGTCCGGCACCGGCAGTAGCAGAGCGGCAGTCGCACTCACCGGATGGGAATCGATTACACAAAAACCGCAGGGGTCTGCAACCGTGATCGTCAGCGAATTGCCGGCATGTGTGACGCTGTGGGGGGGGGGGGGGAGTCAGAGCGGCTTTGTGCCGTTACCTCTTTACCAGGTCATATTTGTGACACTTAAAAGCAGATGTCAGTGAGAGTAGCACTGCAGCACTGTTCATATTGCTTAGTACTGAAATGTCGAGTACCCCCGATGCTTTAAGCCCACACTATCATCTTGCAATAAAAACAGCGCCTCAGAGTCTTTTGGCTCCTTATTCCGTAAGTGTCAAATCACCCTCTGCCGGAATTGATTACCAAATTTAGCAAAATAGCTAGCTGGCGTAATAGCCAATAGATGACACCACTAAATCCCTTTTGTAGGTCCGTGACAACAATGCAGCAATTGTCCAACTGGCAGCCAACAAAGGCCACCGATCCAATTAGTTGTTCATATTTTGCGCCGCTGCGTCCTTCCCCGCGCCACTCTCCGCTGAGCGGCCGAACAAAATGAAAAGCACACAACATACGAGAAAATGAATTATAGACCCAGAAACGGCAAACAGTCCCGTACCGGTAAGATAATAGAATTTTTGATTAGGTAGTTAATGGAAAGACGGGGTCATTCATCGATGTTTGATGGTGTTGTACGGCGGCCCGAGACGGGCCGATTGGCTGCGGCGAGTGGGTGAATTTCCCATCGCGCCGCGGCCGGACGCCGACAAATGGGATTTATTCAGCATTAGCTGATTGGCCCGGTGTCGAGGTCTGTACGCAGGTGTGGTCGGCGGACGGCGGCAGCGGCCGTCTCCGTACCCGGGGGAGATGGCAGAGGTGTCTGTGCTGGTCCCTGACCAGAGCCCCCGGTCCAGCGGCCGGGAAGGAGAGATTAATCCGAATGGGCCGGGGCTCGCATTGTGACTGTCGGGTTCGCCAGTGCGTGGGCTTAACAGTGAGCATACCCTGGGCTGAGCTGTGGGTGCCGTAATACATACCTTTGGTCGATCGGCTTCCGCGGCGTCGCGCAGGTTGCGCCCTGCGGAGATCGTGCTCAGTTCAGACCTCGCTCAGTGTCAGCCGTACAAACGGTGCTGGGAATCGCCAATCAGCGCCGGCGCGCCGGGCTAATTAGCCGGTGACCGGAGAGCGGGTGCAGCCGTCGCGGACACGCCAATTAGCAGGCGGCGGCGGTTAATTAACCCGCAGAGCTGGCGGCCGACACCAGTCCGTAAACGCTCCGGACCGCGACCGGACGGGATGAGGTGCGAGACGACTGCCTCTGATCTGATGCGCCGCTCCGCGCGGTCCGCTGTGTGATCTGACGCGGTCCGGTGTGTGATCTGACGTGGTCCGATGTGACGGTCCGCGTGTGATCTGACGTGGTCCGCTGTGTGATCTGACGTGGTCCGGTGTGTGTTCTGACACGGTCCGGTGTGTGTGTGATCTGACGTGGTCCGATGTGACGGTCCGCTGTGTGATCTGACGTGGTCCGCTGTGTGATCTGACGCGGTCCGGTGTGTGTTCTTACGAGGTCCGGTGTGTGTGATCTGACGTGGTCCGATGTGACGGTCCGCGTGTGATCTGACGTGGTCCGCTGTGTGATCTGACGCGGTCCGGTGTGTGTTCTTACGAGGTCCGGTGTGTGTGATCTGACGTGGTCCGCTGTGACGGTCCGCGTGTGATCTGACGTGGTCCGCTGTGTGATCTGACGCGGTCCGGTGTGTGTTCTTACGAGGTCCGGTGTGTGTTCTTACGAGGTCCGGTGTGTGTGTGATCTGACGTGGTCCGATGTGACGGTCCGCTGTGTGATCTGACGTGGTCCGCTGTGTGATCTGACGCGGTCCGGTGTGTGTTCTTACGAGGTCCGGTGTGTGTGATCTGACGTGGTCCGATGTGACGGTCCGCGTGTGATCTGACGTGGTCCGCTGTGTGATCTGACGCGGTCCGGTGTGTGTTCTTACGAGGTCCGGTGTGTGTTCTGACACGGTCCGCTGTGACGGTCCGCCGTGTGATCTGACGCGGTCCGGTGTGTGATCTGACGCGGTCCGGTGTGTGTTCTTACGAGGTCCGGTGTGTGTTCTTACGAGGTCCGGTGTGTGTGTGATCTGACGTGGTCCGATGTGACGGTCCGCTGTGTGATCTGACGTGGTCCGCTGTGTGATCTGACGCGGTCCGGTGTGTGTTCTTACGAGGTCCGGTGTGTGTGATCTGACGTGGTCCGATGTGACGGTCCGCGTGTGATCTGACGTGGTCCGCTGTGTGATCTGACGCGGTCCGGTGTGTGTTCTTACGAGGTCCGGTGTGTGTGATCTGACGTGGTCCGATGTGACGGTCCGCTGTGTGATCTGAGGCGGTCCGGTGTGACGGTTCGCGGTCCGGTGTGGTGGGGCTGGCCGGTGGGCTGTCTCCGGGCACGGTACTCGCCGCCGCACGGTTCTCTCCTTGACACGGTACTCATCGTGACACGGTACTCGCCGTGTCGCGGTACTCGCCGTGTCACGGTTCTCTCCTTGACACGGTACTCGCAGTGTCACGGTACTCGCCGTTTCGGGGTACTCGCTGTCACAGCGGGGCGCGCGTCTGACCGGACCCGTCTGTTTCAGGTCGTCAGCGGCGAGCGCAGTCATGCATAATAGCAACGGTCAGTGTCTGAAGACCCGGACCATGTCGGGCGGCCAGCTGATTGGCGCCAACATCGACAGTATCGGTGAGTGCTCTATGGGTGTTGCGAGTGTCAGGGAGTGTCTGAGTGTCGGATGGTGTCTGGACTCGGGGGAATTTTGAGTGGGAGGTGCTTCTATAAGTTTCAGGGAAGCGCTCAAAGAGGGATACCTGCAGGGAAGTCCCGGCTGCCTCGCTAATGTGTGGGTATGCGAATGCTAAGTAGCGTGTCAGGTATGTTGGAGAGATGCAGAACTCTGTCGGCCGGCCGGGAACTCTGCCCGTCTGCGGCTCTGCCTCGCCTTCGCTGCCGGGACCGGAGCAGCCGCCAATTTCGGGGCCAGCTGCGCCCCTGATGCCGGCCATCTGAGCAGTCGGTACGTGGGCCGGGGCGCGTGCCCGGCGGCCGGCACCATGGGGACCAGGTTCGTGATAACGGCCGGCGCGCGGCGCTGGTTTCGTGATCACGGGTCGTGTTGACCGTTCGTCTCTTCATGTCGCGCCGCACCTGCTCCTATTTTTGTCAGCGGCCCTAATTGGCCACTAATCGCCGCCGGACATCAGGAGCAAATTTACTCACGCCCCTCCGTGTGCCGGAGCCCGGCTAAGGGTCTGACGTTGAGCCGACTTTGGAGCTGGACAGGGTGTTCAAACACCACACCCTGTGTCTCTATAATTGGCTGTTAATTTCACGTTCCTTAGAGACTGCAAGTGCTCATGGAACTGATACTAATCGCCTACAGTAAGCCGGCGGCCACGACAGCGCGAATGTCTGCTGCTCGCAGCTCCTGGTCCGCTCCGTGTTTCCTGCCTTGCTCCATCTGCCGGCGGACCGAGGCGTCACAGCCACTGCGACTCCCTACAGCCCCCGCGGTCCCTCCGACGGCCCCCGCTACCCCGGTTCCTTCCAACGGACCCCCGCCACCCTGGTTCTTGCCGACGGACCCCCGCTACCCCGCGGTCCCTCCGTTGGGTCTCCGTCACCCTGCGGTCCTTCCGACGGACTCCCGCCGTCCTGCATCCTTCCGTCACCCTCTGCGCCGGCGGATGTTTGCCAGCAGCGCCACAATGCAGCGCTGGAGCCGACAGAGCCGGCGCGCAACAGACGAAAGCGGCGCGCGAGAAGTGCCGCCGCGCGGACGGGTGCGGCGCGCTCGGCTGGTGACCAGCCGAACGGATGCGGTGTGTCCGCGGCTGGTGACCAGCCGAACAGAGGGGGTGTGTCCGCGGCTGATGACCAGCCGAACAGAGGGGGTGTGTCCGCGGCTGATGACCAGCCGAACAGAGGGGGTGTGTCCGCGGCTGATGACTAGCCGAACAGAGGCGGTGTGTCCGCGGCTGATGACCAGCCGAACAGAGGGGGCGTGTCCGCGGCTGGTGACCAGCCGAACAGAGGGGGTGTGTCCGCGGCTGGTGACCAGCCGAACAGAGGGGTGACCGCTTTCGGTGACCGCTTTCGTCTGTTGCGCGTCGGCTTTGTCCGCTCCAGCGCTGCATTGTGGCGTTTCTGGCAAACATCCGCCGGCGCAGAGGGTGACGGAAGGATGCAGGACGGCGGGGGTCCGTTGGAAGGAACCAGGGTAGCGGGGGTCCGTCGGACGGAACCAGCGGACGGAACCGTCGTGTGTCCGCGGCTGATGACCAGCCGAACAGAGGGGGCGTGTCCGCGGCTGATGGTCGCTGACGACAAAAGGGTGGCGGTCCGCAACCGATTATAAAATGTCAACTGTGTTCACACTGCATACCTCTATTTTATAAGGAAATTGATCGTGCAAACCAATACAGTAAAATGCACATAAACACTAAAAATAACTTCCTAAGATAAATCCGTGTTACGTTTCGTCATAAGCCTTGTTCAGCGCGTCTGTCGGAGCTGGTGCCGCTCGGGTCGGAACTAACTATTTGGTGGTGTTCGGGCCAGAACTGGTGCCGGTAATTTGACAGAGTGGGCTGTTGACCTCCAGCAGTGGCGTCCTGCCGTCACGGTCAGTGACGTCCTGCCGTCAGTGACGTCCTGCCGTCAGTGGCGTCCTGCCGTCAGTGACGTCCTGCCGTCAGTGACGTCCTGCCGTCAGTGACGTCCTGCCGTCATTGACGTCCTGCCGTCAGTGACGTCCTGCCCCAACCGAGCCGCCGCGCCGGTCCCGCCGCCGCCGCGCTGAGCTAGCCCGTTCGGCCGGCGGCGCTCTAATGGCTGTTCCTTGTCGGGCCCGCTCTGTCCATGTTCGACCTATCCGTACTCGGATCAGCATGCACCCTCTACATGGAATTCGAATTTAAAAGTCAATCATTTTTTATTAAATTGGTGGCGGTCGATGTGGCGAGCTGGCGCCAGCTCTCGTCATAGGTGGAGTGAGGATTGTCGAGTGCCGGACCGCCGTTCATCGGCTGGGCCGGGGCGCAGCTGGGGGACGCAGAGTGGAACGGTGGCTCCCAGTTCTGAGGTCCCGCCGCCGATCCTCAAGTGGGAGTCCGGTCCTGACGTGTGACGCCGCCGGTGCTGACGTGGCGCGCCGCCGGTGCTGACGTGTGACGCCGTCGTTGCTGACGTGGCGCGCCGCCGGTGCGGTGTGAGTGGATACAGATGGGCCCACCGCCAGTCGCTGGGCGGTCCGCATGTTGTCGGTCTGAGAGCTACAACCTGTGAGCTGAGTAACAGGAGCTGTTGAACACACCACAGGACATCCGACATGATGGCATGCTGGGGTTCGGTTACATAAAGACGCGTTTCACCGGCGAGCCTGCACTGCAGCCATTACTCATTATGCTGCATATTTCACGGCTAAAGTTACCTCCTTGCGCGCGGTAGATCTGGTTCTCATACCAGCCTTTCATTCCGTTCTGCTTCTGCGTCATTGCGAGAGGGTCAGACAGAATGGACGGTGCTCTCCTCCTCACACACACACACACACACATACACACCCACACGACGTTTTGGCACTTCAGGATGGCCTCGGGGACCTGGGCTCATTCCTCTGACCCGCACGTGCCGGGCCCGGCCGCGCGCCCACCCCCGTGGCACAACTTTGCCACTCGGCTGAGTGGGCAATGCACGGTGCGCTGGGCGGCGAAAGCGGCGCACTTGGGCAACAATGGCGCGGCGGTGCGAGCCCGTTTGTCGCCCGCATCGCCGCCACCGACCCACCCTAATCCCAATTCTTCCGGAATTCATTCTTCATTGCGGGAAATTGGCCTGTCAAAATCTAATTTATCTTGAATGCTCGTTTATTTGTGGCTCTTTTATATTAATGGATATGAAATTTTATTCGCTAAATTGATGGAAGGGGTAATAGATTGTGCCGTCTGGCGGCGGCTGAGGCTGCACACATTGCCTGTCTGTCCTGGTGTCGGGGCCGGGAGCTGCGTTTAGCTGCAGCGCCCTAAACAATGGCTGGCCGCCGTCGGTAGCCAGCCAGGACACCATGGAACCAGGATACGTTACTGACTGGCGAGTGGCGCAGCAGTACCGACTGGGACGCTGGAACCGGTACCAGCCCGGACTCGGGTACCAGACCGGTACCGGCTGGGACAACATCCCACAACAAACATCACACATTGCAACACCTCACATCATCAGCAGCAAGATTTACAGCAGCAAGTATGAATATTCTACCCCCTTTCTGGACACCCTTGCCTTGTTAATCGGACGCCACATGAGCCGAATTAAAGTAAAGTTTGCTTCTCTCTCTTGCTTGGGTCAGAATTAAATAGTTGACAGTAAAGTAAAGTAAAACGAAAGATCTGGGTCATTGCCAGCCTTAGTAATTTCCCCTTCCCTGGCGGTTGCCTTAAGGCCGCCCCACACTGGAACTCGCATGCGGGTTGCGAGTTTTTGGGTTTTCGGGTTTCTTCAAAATCAAATGATATCATCTAAGCTGAGTGACCCATACTACCATCTAACAAGCGAGTCCGTGCATGTTTTAGCTTGCGAGCCACCTTGCATCGCATTCCAAAAGTTGATTTTGAGTCAACTTTCGATTTTCCTCGCTGCGAGGTCTGCGAGTCCTGCGAGGTTTGCAGGTTTTTCGTTGGAGCCGAATTTTGGTTCGTTGCGCTGGTATTGCGACTATATGTAATTTTCTGAAGGTGTACCGGCTTCACTGCATTCTTAACCCGCGCACCGACGGGGGTCTGCACCAACTTCGCACCGACGGGGGGGGGGCGGATGACCGCCCCCCCCCTGAGATCTCGAGAACGAAGCAAGATAGCGACAAGCGGTAAACGGCATCGGATACGCACGGCCAAGATCTACAATTTTTACTAGGGTCATTTTCAGGTCAGGTCAAAGATGACGTCACAGGGGTCGAAAAAGTCAAAATGGCGGCGCTAGATATGGAGAGTTTTTCTCGAATAACTTTCGAATTAGTCAAGATAGGAACAAACTAAGGGCATCATCGTGATCCTCCCGTCAATCTGCATCGAATGATATATATGTTGACCTCGAAAGGTCAAGGTCAAAGGTTGACCTCAGATCACGTGACCTCGAGGTCATCATGTATATCATTCGATGCGTCTTGACGAGCTGAACACAATGAGACCATCCACGCGTCTGTATCTTGTTCCTGTACGGAGTTATTGGCCAAAAACCTTTGGTGACCTTTGATGACGTCACATGACCTCACAGCTGCCCAACAGCAAAACAGACCTCAAGGTAGTGAAGGTTGATCGTATATGAAGTCATGTATGGTATATGGGGCCATTCCGACCCGTTTTAGTGGTAAAAACAGGGAGTTGATTTTTCCCCCATTGACTTATAATGGGGAGGTCGCGAAATTGACCTGACCTTAGGTCACCGATATCAAAATTCCGAGATATACAAATTGTAGCTACTAATGACCTAATAATATCCTGCGACTTTCAAAGGCCTCCGACATCTACTGTAGCTGTGGCACGGTGACAAAGTTGCAAAAAAGTGACTTGAGGTTGGGTCATTCAAAGTGACCTGGTGACCTGACCTTAAAAGGTAGGAAGTTCAAACTTGCACACCATGTGTAAAATTGATGAGGTTATAGTCAATCCAAATTTCGCGGCGCTACGCGCCGCGGT